TATTTATTACATTTATTTATTGTGTGTGTGTGTGGCCAGCTCAGCCCACCAGGGGGCAGGGCTGGCTGGCATGTGGTGCTGGAGGATCGAACCGAGGTCCCTGTGCTTTGCCAAGCTTGTTTCAAGTAGGTGCTTTAGACCACTGAGCCATCTCTCCAGCCCCCTAAGGACATCTTTAAATTGGGTCCTCAAATTAAGATGGCCCAAGTGAGACCTTTCTCTGTACCCACCTCAAAGATGTTCCTGGAGGAAATAGTTCCCATATTCTCCTTTCATGGCTCCCCCAGCAGCAGAAGATAGTAGGAAAAACTAAAACAATGTAAAGCTGGGCCCAATTGTCCAAAGAGATTTTAAGGAGTCCTTTGTACTACAACCTTTGTCTGCCATCTTGGGAGAGAAAAGGGTGTGTGTGTGTGCGTGCGTGCATGCGTGCGTGTGTGTGTGTGTGTGTGTGTGTATGATCAAAATATAAATTCTAAACTTGTTTAGATTTTGGTCACCATCTCCTCCCAGGATCATCACAGGGCACAATTCCACAGAGCACCTTCTCATCGTAGCCTTCAGAATTGTGTCAAGAGTGATTTCACATTGATTGCAGCAATTGATTGCAGCAACAGTGCACTTCCCGGAGCTGACAGTGTGGTGGTCATGTTTTATATCTGTTTCCTTCCTTGTGCATGCTTGTGCTCTTCTCTAAAGATTATTCCAAGGAGGAAAAAGGCAACTCAGACAGCTTTGTTCTCTGTTCCCTGACAACTGAATATGTGGCAGCGCAGTTCTACCAGCCCAACACCACCTTTGTTTTTTGGTTTGTTTGTTTGTACGGTAGTGGGGTTTGAACTCAGGACTTTTTGCTTGCTAGGCAGGCGCTTGTGCTGCTGAGCTATCTCCCTGGCCCAACATCACCTTTGAATACCTCATAAATGTTTTTCCTCCTTGTAGGCAGTGAATTCTGGGGAACTCCGAGCGTTTGACTGGGGAAGTGAAACCAAGAATCTGGAGAAAGGCAATCACGTAAGACAGTCAAATACCAGCCACTGAAGCTGCATCCTGTGGAAATGCATGCAAGGGAGGTCACAGGGACAGGTTATTCTAAGGATAAGAATAAAATATAAGAATTCTATTAAAAAGAAAATAATAAAACTTCAGGGTTGACTGCCTTTCAAACTGGGCAGGTTCACAGTTTAGCCAAGAGGCTGCTCTGCTTCTGCTACAGAATTGGAGGCCTTTTTGGTGGTGGTAACTCATGAGCAGGAAACTGGGATTCTTTGTTGCAGGGTGGGGTTGAGTTAGTCCAAGGAAGGGTGTGTACAGTGGCACTAGAAGGATCATTAGCATGTACAAAAAACAAGTAGACAAACAAGGATGGAGGTAGTAGAGACATTTCCTGGCACCGTGGGAAGAACATGAGACAGCAAGGGGGGACTGCTGTGCTAATCCTGCCTCTGGACGATATGCTTATGAGCTGCTACTATAGGCAACTTTGGTTCATCAGGACTAATTTTCTATTTAAAATAATTATTGGCTTACATAATCTTTGTGTTCTTGATTATACTTGGGATTTAAAGGTTAAAAATTATTATATTACCCTATAAACCATGAAGTCAATGCTATGAAACAAAATTTAGGGCTGGCCAGACAGCTCAGTGAACTAAAGCACCTCCTTAGGCAGATGCAGGGACCAGGGTTCAATCCCCAGCGTGCCATGCCAGCCCCACCCCTAGGGTGCACGGAGAAGTGACTGAGACTGGGTGTGGTGTACACCCCTTAATCCCAGCACTTGGGAGGCTGAAAACAGGAGGATCATTAGAGTCTGGTCTGTGCAGTAAGACCCTGCAAACTCTTTACTTACTAAATACATAGAAAAAAAAAAAGAAATAAAATTTAAACTAAAAAAGTAGAGAATCAGAATTGGATAAATATATACTTTTGAGTGTAAAACCTGCCCCCAAAATTACTGGTGAGTGGTGTAAATGTACATAAATATTGGTTACACAGCCAAAATTACAGGGGATAAATAAATACAGCCTAATATTTCTTCGAGAGATCCAAATCATGCTTAAGGTCCACCGCCTCGCATCAACTTGAAAACAAAATCCTAGAAAGTTGGACAGCCTGTGTGGTTGTCCCTGAATAAAAAACTTTCAATCATAGGTATACATTTCTTTATGTACCCCTTTTCACTCTTTCCTGAAGTAAATGTAGAGAACATTTTCCTGTTTTAAGATGGTTTAAGTTTATCAATAATATTTAATGGGGGGGCCAGGGAGATGGCTCAGTAGAATAAGCACTTCCCTCGCAAGTACAAGGGCCTGAGCTCAATCCCCGGTTCCACGAAAAAAATAGAAAATAAAATAATAATAATAATAATAATAATAATAATTAATGGACTGAGTTCTTCTGAATCTGATACATGCAGAGTGGGTAACAGAAAATAGTAATGGAAAGGAAGGAAAAACACAGATATAAAAAGGTGTCATCGAATCAGGGCAACTTAGACCTAGAGAAGACATTTAGTTCAATCTTTTCATTTGTAAGATGAGAAAAAAACATGAATGTCTCCCTCAGTAATTCCAATCTTCCATATAAGGCTGTACTCCAAATTCATAGGGAGGCACAAAGACAAAGGCAGGTGTTTAAGGGTGGAGCTGAGGCTCTCCGGTGAATTTTGTGATTAAAAGCAAAAACAATCCTCACCAATTCTATGGGATGTCAGTTTCCCGGAGTCAGCCAGACCCGCAAAACTTCCAGTGCTGTTCGAACGTGCGAGTTGCGTTCAAAACAAGGAACAAGGAAGACTACATTCCCTTCTCTGGATGGTGTGGGGGAGCTAAGCTTGGGGGTTGGGACGAGACTTCAACTTTACTGCCCTCTGGTTCAAACTGGCTGAGTGTCTGGCCAGCCCATGAGTGGTCCAAGGCCTTGGAATTTCAGGCAGAATCACAGAATGTGTCTGGGAGGATCTAGAGGCCTTTGTGGTAGGTTCCCTGCCTTTCCCTGTAGAATACCTCTAATTCTTGCGTATAAAATGTTTGATAAAGTATCTTTTACACTTACAGGTACCTTGCTTTTAAAGGCAATTCTTTCTTATGCATATCTGAAATGTAAAGTGTGGTTTCAGAACTTTAAATACCATCATGTTGTCTAGAGCTAAAGCTATTATTTCATTCCAGCCAACTCCTTTAAGGTACAATGTGCGAGATATGACAGTCCCGACGGCGATGTGGTCAGGAGGTCAGGATTGGCTTTCAAATCCAGAAGATGTGAAAACATTGCTCTCTGAGGTGACCAACCTCATCTATCACAAGAACATTCCTGAGTGGGCTCACGTGGACTTCATCTGGGGGCTGGATGCCCCCCACCGCATGTACAATGAAATCATTCATCTGATGAAGCAGGAGGAGCCCGACCTGCCCCAGGGAACCTGCAAGGTCTCACTGTCAAACTTCTGATACTCACAAGGCTTGGGAACTTCCTTATGGAAGATGGGGCTCAGACCAGGAGTAGAGTAGGAGATTTTAAGGATTCCTGGAAGGGAAAGCCTACCATATCTTTCAAAGGGTGGGCAGAGCTAACAGTTATATTTTCCTTCAGATTTCTACATTTGGCATGAGTACTCAGATTTACATATTTTTTTAGTTAGTTAAACTAAAGCAATAGCAAATATGGGTTTCCTGTGCTATTATGTCTTCTACCATTTTGAAGGTTATTTTTCACCGAACACCCAGGAAGTACCTTGACATTTACTACATCATTTGGATAAACCGCCTTCAAACATTTATGTTTTCGAAAGTCATATTTTTGGAGGATCAAAGTAAAATGACAAATTGGAGCAGATACTGAAGTCAAAAAATTTCTAGATTGTTGTTGATTCTGACAAAGTGGGGGGGACATTTCTACCTTGTTGCCACAGAATCAGGATACTACCTACCTCAGAAAGCCAATCAGCTTTAACGACGACGACAAAGGCATCGCTACGTGGCCCAGATGTGTGTATGTTAAGCATCCTCAGAACAGGGCCAAGTTTACAGCTGGATCATACAGGAGAGACTTTTGTAGGCTACTTCTGAGTTTCCCAATAAATACATTATGCACTGCATAGAGCACGCTTGTGTTATATCAGTACTAAGCTCTAGTCTAAGCTTGTTTACACCCGGTAGCTAGGAGTCATATTAGCCCTATTTTTATCTCCCAAAACTAAAACCTTGAAAGAAAGTTGTACAACATCATGAGCAAAATGAAAGCAATTACTATGCATTTTGTCCTTTGGTCATAGCAGTCACCATCAGACAGTCCTCCCAACTCATTCATAAATCTAGATTTGTTTCTTTAGAAAGCTGTGCAATTTTCAGTTTCAACAATGACAGCTGGAAATTATATAAGTACTATTTTACCAAATCTAATCTAAAATCCAGTGAAAGGTATAGTGTGCATAATGCGTGCTGACTCAATGCTGTTCAGAGCTATGCTGGTGTGTGCAGGGTGGTTTTAATTTAGACTCAGGAGTCAACAGGAACTAATTTCCATGCCAATGAATCTTAAGTAATTTAGAGACACTTAAGGACTTTAGAAGCTACATCTGTATACTACTACTTCCTTCAGGGCCTGAGGTAGTTCAATAAGTATTTCCAAACTTAATTTTTGTTAAGACCTTCATTCCATTCAAGGATAGAAAATCTCTCACTCTGTGACTGTATTTCTTATCATACATAGTATTATTCAACCTGTGACTACATCTATGACAGGATTAGTCTTGATTTTCAAAATTTGGTCAAATTTTAAAAGCATATTTTTTTCCACTAGATATCATTTATAAAGGAAGTAAAATAAATACTTTGGTATTCATCTCTCATTGAATATAGTCTAGATTCTATTTTATTATACAATTATATTTTAATTACTATATTTCTGTCTTTTGTGACGGGCTTTATTCAGATAAGTTATAATATTATTTTGTCAACAAAAATAAACATATCTGGGGCTGGCATGCTATACTGCATTTTTACTAGGCAAGGCCCAGGTTCAACCCACAACACCATACACACAAAAAGAACTTTACAATAAAATCAACAAAACTAGCAAATGTAGTAGCCTCTTGGCATTTACAAGAGGATTACAATCTTTTCTTTTAATTTTCAGTATTGGAGATCAATGGCAGGTCTCTGCACAAGCTAAGCATGTACTCTTCCACTGAGCTACATCCCCAGCCCCTTAAGGATATTTTTTACAGATATTTTGATAGTTACATGTCTAGTTGAAACCAAGGTAGCTTTCATTTGTACGTTAACTCCTGTCTCTAGTGGTATGCCGATAAGCCAGGTTTCCACAAATAGCTTTGCTTTGTGATGTTTGCTCATTTCCATTTCTGTCTAAACATACCCACCTTCCACAACTGACAAACACTTTTATTTAAGTTGTTTTATCGAAGGCATATTTACATTGGAGTCTCTGGACTTCACATGTATACGTACCATTTGACATAAATGTACACACTTAGATTTCTCCTATTTTTACTTAACAGGATCTGGAAGGGGCAAATTTTTCTCCTTGGCATGGTGTAGACAAGACAGACCCTTAGTAAGCCTAACACAACTGGAAAAAAAGAATCTATCTCAGTTAACTGCTCCTCCTTTTCTTCAGGAAAGCCTGAATTTGAAATACCAGTTTTTGACCCAGCAAGAGACTCCAATAACTTTACTATTTCTCCTAGAACCATTATGGTGATGGTAAAATCCATTGAGCAAAAAAGATTATAAAGTCTCTTCAAAAGCATTAACCATAGCAGTCATGATTATCCCATGATGGAGGTATCCACGTTAGGTGGCCTGCAGACCTGTAGTCCACGATGGAAATGGAATCCAGTCCTTTGACTTTGTTACATCTCCACTTGTGAGGTCACAGGGTTATGACGCTTTCCTTAGCATTAATTCAATCTGGGAAAATTTTAGTCTCTGCGCAATGTCCAGTGAGCTCTCACCATTCTAAGAAGAAAGAAGAACTCCAGTTATTTCCTTCCAAATAGAATCAAATGTCAATAAAGCACATAATCAAAGTCCTAAATTAGATTTCTAACAGAGCAACAATGCAAGATTAAAAACTCAGGCTTGGGGCCGGGGAGATAGCTCAGTAAAATAGGCACTTGCCTGGCAAGCTCAAGGTCCTGAGTTCAATCCCCAGTACCAGGAAAAAGGAAAAAAACAACTCTGGCTTTACAACAGCTTTAATTGTTACTAAGTTGTAAAGGCAATGAGATAATTTCCTCACTTAATAAGGACAATCGATTTCACTGCTATTCAAATGAGAGGAAATTTAGCATCTATACTGGGCCTAGATAAGAAGATTGTGCCATTACAGAATCTCACAACCTGGCTCAAGCTCTTTACCTTGTCCTTTATCAAAGGATCTGCGTGGGCCTCCAGAAGCAGGGGGATGAGAGTCTGGTTTTTCATCCTGCAGGCGTAGTGCAGTGCAGTGCAGCCATACTGAAACACAGGCCAGAGGGGTGGCTCATCAGTGGGTTCTCCGGAGACTTCAACAGGCAGCTTCCTTAGCAGCCTTTCAGGCTTGCAGTGCACAACCCAGCAAAGCAGTCTGCTATTTCTAGTACTTAAAAAGCATTCTTCTGCACTTCAAGGTACATGATAATATCTTATAAACCAGCAGCATCCTCCATTTTATCAGTTTATGTTCTAAACTGAAAAATGCAATTTATGATAATCTGATGCTGAATTATGTAAAGGTTTGTTTGCAGAATCAGATATGATGGACAATCAACACCTGAGCCTTTTGGCAAACAATTTATTATCTGCTATCCCTACAATCTGAATGTGAATACTCATATCATTACAGAACATCTGGAAAATCATAGTGGTTATATTCTGTTACCAACTTAAAACACTAACTACAGATCAAGTAAATGTATAGCTGGGAGATTTGGAGTCAAAATCTTTCAGCCAGGCATGGAGGCACATGCTGTAATCCCAAAACTGATGAGGCTAAGGCAGAAGAATCACCACAGATTTGAGGTGAGCAGGGCTACATGGTGAGTTCAAGGCCAGCCTCAAGTATGTAGCAAGACCCTGTCTCAAAAATAAAAGTTTTTTAAAAATCAATCAAGACAACTCAGATACTATCTTCCTCCAGAAAGAATGGCTATCATGAAGAGATCAAATAATAACAAACACTGACAAGGCCACAAAGAAAGGTGAATCTTTCTACATTGCTGTCAGGAATAGAAACTAGTGCAACTACCACAGAGACAGGATGGATAGTCCTCAAAAATAAACAAGTACATAAAACTAGAAATTCCACTTGTCAGCTGTTCCCCTTGTAGGCATCTTCCTAAAAGAGTTAGTCACCATGTTATAGTGATACGCACCCGTGTCTATAGCAACACAATTTATATTACTAAATCTTAGAAACAGCCTGTGGACCCATCAACAGATGATGGAGAGAGAAAATGTGGTCTTACAGATGACAGAGTATTATTATGCCATAAAGAAGGATAAACTTGAAGCATTTGTAGGTGAATGGGTGAGCCTCGGGATTGTAGTGTTGTCAATAAATCAGATGCATAAGTATAACCTCATGGTTTTACATGAGATATCCAAAGTGTAAATAAAGAGTAAAATAAAGGGTAGATAATGGAAAGTAGGGAGGCCCTTTTCCAGTGAGAAGCAGAACAACAGCCAGGAGGAAGTGGGAGGTCAGGAAAGGAAAGGGGATTTAAAAGAGAGTTGAAGGAAATAAATGGAAAGAGATTTTTTTTCTATATTTTAGGCAAGGGTCTATGGGGTGTTCAGGGTCTTACTACTAGATCAGACTCATAGTGATTCTCCTGTTTACAGCCTCCCATGTGCTGGGATTACAGGTACACACCTCCATGCCCAGTCTCAATTGCCCTCTCAGCCCTGGGGGTAGGACCGGCACAGCAGGCCCGGGGATCGAACCCCTGGCCCCTGCACTTGCTTGCAGGTGCTTTAATCCGAGAAAAGAGAATTGTTGCAAATGGGAAGAGGAGCAAGAGTTGGAGGGATCTGGCAGGAGTGGAAGGTATGAGACCAAAGCAAAACATCTAAAATGGGTCGTGTATGGATACGAACTCCCCACAATAAATGTAATCATTATTTCATCCCATCATGTAGTAAAAAAATTATTTTTAATAAGTCAAGAAAACCATTGTCATCATAAGTGAAATAATAATATCCTTGACTATCAAGATGGATGGAGTTAATTTTGGACATTGTCCTCTCAAAATTCTTCTAAGAGTGCTGGAATGAGTGCTAGCATCTTTTTTACTATATGCTGACAGGGTGCATGAAAGATCTAGCTCTAAACTTTTCCATATGAAATAAAGAAAGCCTAAATAAGTATAATGTAAAACACTGCATTACTTAGGGCCAGAAACATGGATTGTACTCTCAAGATAGTTTTCTTTTAATCCCAAAACTGTAAGTACAATTAAATATAATCAGAATTAAAATAATGTAAGTACAAACAGAGACATATCCTCTATCATACAAGAGTAACACCCATAGAACAATTAAGAATTACATAGAATGTTAGCATTTATAATCAAATTTCAACTTGTCCTTTTTCAATCAAATACTGAAAACCTAAACTTTTTTCAATTCATCTAAGCATATAAAATACCATAAATATTTTGAGCCATTATGTTTATTTAAAGGGGTAAAAGGCAAAACCCAAGCCTTGCACTGCCTATGGGAAGAAGTTAGCCGATGTTCCTACTTTCCCAGGGCTCTTACCATCTCTCGGATTTCTCCTGGACCATTGTGCTTGTCTACCTCTATACATACGGGGCCTCTGTGAAAGTGGTTGGAATCTCAGCCACAGCATCAGCTGCTAACATCGCGGGGGTGGGGAGGAGCGTTTCCTCTACACGAGCATTCTGCTTAGCGCTTTGTGTGGATGCAACCTAAAAGGTAATTACTCTATATTCCACAGTATAGACAAGGTAACTGGAATTTAAAATGGCTTAGGACTTAGTAAAGCCCACATAAGTAAAAAGTGATGAGTTTATATTAACATGTAGCTGTCCTGATGAATCCTCTTAATTATTGAAGATGGTATTTGTTACTAGACCATCCATTTTTTAAAAAATAAATTATCATTGTCAAAAACAGTGCTTTATATTCAGTGAAGACTGTATTCTAGAGTTTAATGGAAAAATACAAATAACTTCAAAGTTACCTGACTGGCCATGAGGAAAAAGAAAAGAAAACTAAATGTAAACATTAGTTTTCATTTATTACCAGGAAAATAAGGCATACAACTTTATACATGACAAGCGTATTACCTATAAATATCATTTTAATATCATTTCAGCACAAACTTACACAGTCTGCAGCATTAACCTCAGCCCCAGCGTTAAGTAGCATTCGTACAAGTGCCTCATTCTGCTTTGTCTTTGATACCTATAACAGAGAGCAAGTACAAGGCAGGTTGTATTACATTTTCTCCATCTGTGTCTGGGGAGGCTTTCTAATCAGCAGGATTTATGTAAATTCCCAACCTGCTCTGCATTTGTGCATCGTTGTTAAAATCTTCCCACCTTCTTACTCCCTTCAATATCAGCCAAAACCACAGTTTTCAGGACATATTCTTGGAGTAGCAGCCTCATGACCCAGGAATTTGTCTGAAATTCTTATTTTCAGGCCCCATGGCAGACCTGCCACATCCTACTGAGAATGTGACCCAGTGATCTTTCCTGGCTCAAAGCTCTTCAGAACGTCCCGTTACCCAAGAACAAATCAAAATGCTTCCGTGAACAGGTGCCACAGCAGACAGCCCCGGCCTGCTCTCAGCTCCGGGTTCATCCTGCATAAGCTACACTGGCCTCTGGATACTCTGGTTTCTCTTCAGATCCTATAAATCTTTTGCCTTTCACTGGCCTTTGCAGTATTCCTTCTGCCTGGAGGCTTCTTCTCTCCCTCATTTGCCTCCAAATTCATCTTTCTCAGCCCAGAGCCTCCTAATCAGAGAAGCATCTCTGGCCCACCTGAGCAGATGAAGTCTCTTTCTTCCAGGCTCTCACAGCAGCCGTCACTTCTGTGCCACCCACTTCATAGCGGTTTCACATGTGTTTATGCCCATTAGATGCATAACACCCATCACCTTCTACTTTGTGAGCACCAGGACTGTGCCAGTGTGTTCATTATTGTAACCCTGACAGAGGCCACAGTGTCTGATCCATTACAATGAAGGACTGAAGAAATGAAAAACCTAACCAGATTGCCTCAGAAATCCACTTTCCCTTTCTAGTTTTTTGAGGGGCTCACTATGTAACACTTGGAAACTTCTCCTAGCAGCACGGATCTCCCTGCCAGGGGAGCAAGGCCCTAGAGGCCAACCTCTTGTACATCTGAAGCTTCAATCCCTTTTCTCCTTGTACCTCACTTCTGTTACCAGCTAAACTACTTTCTCATCTCCCTCCTCTGAGATGACTCAACCTTTTCTGGCCCTCTCCGCTATAATTTCCTCTCATACAGCTTATTCGTTGTGTACCACAAATGGACAGTTTTAGGCTCTATTGGTAAGTAGTACACTTGTGCTGTCAGAGCAGGCTATTTATTGCCATTAATATTTTTGCTTAGGTCTCCAACTTCTGAATATTGGACCATCTTGGAAAACAGAGTTGTGTGTAAGAAATTCTGAATGAACCTTACTGATCAAAGTTGTGATGCTTTTCTTTTTGGATACTTTTTTTTCTCATCCTGGGAATCAAACTTAGGATCTTGCACTTGCCAGGCAGGCACTATGCTGCTGAGCTACATCCCCAACCCTGTGATGCTTTGCTTCAAAATCTCTTTAAAAAGTTGCAAATGACAGTTTTCTCTTGCCCCCAAATTACAAGTAATCAAGTAATCTATTTCAAATACACGATGGCTTTTTCTAGAAGGTTTTAGTGATATAAAGCGATTTCATGTTTATTAGTTAAGTAAGCTTTTCATACTCTTTTCCATATATTCCAACATCAAAACCAGAGAACCTCGTTTTCTGTAACATTTAAACTTCCAGAGAGATAACATTATTAAATCTGCAGATTTGGTACTGAAATTTATGTTAACCAGGGTAGCTAATGTGCATGACCTAGCAGTGCAAACGAGCTAAATGCTGGCGTAGATTAAGCATGTGCTTCAGTTTAGCTCAAAGGTGGAACAGGCCACAAGGCAATCAGATGGAGAAAAATGAGTGGGTCGGCCCTGACCTGTTGTCCTATTTGAAAAAAAAAAAAAAAATTCCTCCAGCTCCATCTTTTTCTCATAATATGATTGCATTGCTACATCAACTTCCTATTTACTTATTCAAGAGAAAGAGCATGCAAAAGAGTCATTCCAGCATGATGCCATCTATCCAGGGGAAAGAGGTCCTCAAATCCTCCACAAATATCTTCACCAAATTGGGCCTTTAAACTTTGGAAACTCAGAGAGGATATATAGCAACATAAACTCTTCTCACAAAAAAAGAAGTAAAAGTGCCGGCCATATAGCTCAGAGGATTAAAGCATCTACAGGTAGGCGCAGGGGCCAGGGAGTTGATTCACAGGCCTGCTGTGCCAGCCCTGACCCCAGGGCGCGCTGAGATGGTGATTGAGATTGGGTGTGGTGGCACACGCCTGTAATTCCAGCTCTTGGGAGGCTGTAAACAGGCGGATCACTACAAGTCTGATCTCATAGTGAGACCCTGAATACCCTGTAGACCCTTCCCTAAAATACAAAAAAAAAAAAAAAAAAAAAAAAAAAAAAAAAAAAAGGAAGTAAAATAGTATAAAGAGGGGGGCCGGGGAGATGGCTCAGTAGGATAAGTGCTTGACTGGCAAATGCAAGGATCTGAGTTCAATCCCCAGTTCCACAAAAAAAAAAAAAATAGTATAAAGAGGGTTGCTTTTCAAATGTCCAGGAATTTTTGTGCTTCCTTTCAATGATTCCTGTTCAAGATTAAATTATTTTTCCAAATAGGCTTGCACAGCTTAACTTCACATTGGTTGCCACTTCCACTACTGTCCTTCCCACAAGAATCATAGCATCTAATGTGCCCTGGAAACGTCGCTTATAGAATACAGACGACCTCCAACGCTCAATTGCTTGATTCTTCCTTTTGGAAAAGATTTTCAGCCTTATGATGCTGGAATTATGTTTTGAATTTTTAGTTTTGTTCTTTGCTTGAGCTAAGGAAAAGTAGGAAGATCTCACTTCTGATGCCAGACAGTGCCCAGTCAGCAAAATGCTCACTCGGGTCACTAACGGATGCTCTGCAGTGTGCTGTGTCACTATGCTGTGATGCTGAGGATGTTAGGTACAGTATATGAATTTTCTGCTTATGTTTTCATCCTTCGAGAGGTTTACTAGCATTTAACACCATTGAAAGTTCAGGGGCATTTGCACAAACCAAGGGCTCATTTTTGTTACATTTCTTTACAGCATCTCACTGGGTGACAAAACACCATGAGTCACACCACGGTTCATGTACGACCTGCCCTCTGCTCCCACCAATGTACTCACCATGAGGAAATAGCCAATGAGCAGGACAGGCATTAAGAGGACAATGAGTAGGTAATCAAAGAAGGTAAATCTTTTCTTCACAGCATAATGCAAGCAGGTTCTCCCTTTCTACAAAGTAAAAAGATAATGTGTTTCAAATTTTATATTTTCAGATTACCATATCGAGGTTCAGTTCATTTTTTAAATTACTCAGGTTTCATGGCACCTTTCATCTGTTAGAAATGCCTGGTTAATAAACTCAGATTTCCACTGAGGAGAATATAGAACAGTTCAGTGTCAAGGAAAAGTTTGAGGAAGATCAATAACAAGCAGTGCAGATGAATGTACGCTGTAGAAATAATCGAAGGGTGAATTCTTATGCTCATTTCAGCTTTTGAAAAACTAATATACTGAGATATAAACACAGGATTGACATCATGTGAAAGAGCTGTTGTGGTCCCTTTATAATCTACAGTGGACAATTAGCCACTGCTTGATTTGTTCAAAGGAAGATTTTAACTACACAACAGCGTTTCCATGTTCCTTCATATGCAGTGGTAAAGTATGAGGTAACTTAATTCTTCACATACGTTGATATTATCATGTGCTGAGCTTCCATTTGGAGGGTAGCAGGGAAAGTGAGCCGCGGGACCTCATAAGGGAGGGCAGCCCAGAACACACACAGACAGTTGTGACACAAAACAAACTCTGGTGAAGTTGGAGCAGCAACTGAGCAATACAAGGAAAGGGAGAGAGCAAGAGAAAGGAGAGGTTGCTTTCCGCTTCAGGGAGCCACTGCTCTTAAACAAGAACACTTACTTGTTTTTCTAAATATCAAGGAAATTGTGATCTGTAAACAATTTGGAAAGTAAACAAGAATATAACAATAAAAGTTGGAATTACCTACCAAATAGTCCACAGTTAATGTTGACATTATGCAGTACTGTGCCATATTTTCTTTAGGGCTTTAAATACTTACATATGGTATTTTAAAATGTCAACTTATATTGAATTTAAAATCTTATATTGTCTTTTTTACAAATGCCCACTTAGAAGATGTACACTTTCTATGCCATTCAATATTGTAATGGTTTTGCGGTTTTCTGTTTAGTGGAACTAGTCTATCCAGCTAAATGCTATTAGATATTTTAAGTTTTTTTTTAATAAATAATATTGCCTAAACATCATCCTTCACAGAATTTTGCCAACAATTCTCAGTTTGGCTTTGGCTTAAATTTCTAAAACTAGAATTCATAAACAGATTCAAGAAATGTGAAAAACTTGTTCAGGTTATTCATTTATAAAGACTCCTTTTGGGAAAAATAAAAATATTAGATATTAAAGCACCATTAGAGATATTTAAGAAGTAGAGCATTCAAACAAAAACTAATAGAGAAAAAAATCTCTATTAAAGCGTGGACTGAGGTCCTCTTCAGGATTTTATGCTACCAGAGGACCTAGCAGGGTGCCAGAGGAGGTCATCTGCAAACCCACAGGGAGCTCTTCCTTAGCCTTGGCCCTGATATGTCAAGCATCTCCTTCTTTCAGCTTTCTAATGAGCATGCTCTGGAAAATGAACAAGAACTCACCGATTTCTGACTTCTAACAGGGTAGCTTACTACAACCCTACACACCCGGTTCCCTAGCTGTGTTCTTAGGAGACCCTGTCACTCTACTAAGCAGCCAATCTATTAGCAGCACAGGCATGACTTACTTTTAAACTCATCCAGGGATGAGAGTGTTGCTCAGTGCTAGATTGCTTGACTAGGGTGGGTAAGATCCTTAGTCTTAATCTCCAGCACCACAAACTAATGAACAAAAGTCCACGCAAGCAAAAAATAGTAAGCACATGCCAAGAAGTGACTAGTTATTCATTTTTTAATAATATAATGCTACTCCTAATGAGTTGACCTTTAATGGCGAGTGGTGAGTGGGGCCCTACCAGGTGTTCTTCTCATTGAATGCACTTGAGTAGCTACAGGACATCCATAACTTTTACAAAAAGTGACCAAGCATTTATTGAGTATAATTGAAATGTTGTCCTTACTACGATGCAGATGCAGATATTCCAAAGGGTTCTTTAAGGATGCTCCCAGCAAGGCACACCAACGACACTCTGCTCTGGTTCTGAAAACTCCAAACCGGCTAACATTGCATCTTATAATGCATTCTTTGTGTCTTTTTGTACTATTTCAGGCCCTTGGCTGAAGACCATACATGCTCTCAGCAGGTTTCTTAGATCATTCTTTCATACTGCAGGAACATAGGAACTTCTTTCTGATCAGGTAATTTGTCTAGGATATTAAACTATAACTTAAATTTAACAACATTTCTCTAAAGAGAAATGTTCCCACTATATCTGCAACAGTGAAAAGAGGAAAGAAAGAGAAGAGAGGGGAAAGGATGGGAGTAAGAAGAAGAAAAGAAGAAGCTCTATCCAGACAACAGACTGAAGCATTCTCTTCCTCTTTCAAAATTACAAAGACAGAACCAACCCTACAGTACCTCTGTTGACTGAACTATGTTTTATTATGCCGTTTAGCACAGTAAAACATCCTTGGCAGTTATCAGTCTCTCCAAAGTCATACTTTAAAAAATAAAGAAAAAGAAAACAACAACAAAAAACAAAACAATGGTCAGTATTAGGAGCTACAAACAATGAAAAAGTGACATTCACTGTTTCCACCAGCAGGAGGAGAAGAAATGATAATTGAGCTCTGTGCTCACATCAAACAACCTCACCTGGTTCTTGAGGTTGACGTTAGCATTCCTTTTTAAAAGGAAGGAAACAATTCTCACGTGCCCTCGCCTACAAGCACAGATGAGCGGAGTGTCTCCATTGAAGCCATCTTGAATGTTGATATAGTGGCTGTCTTCTCTTACCCACCGCCACAGTTGACCCAAGTCATTTTGGTAGGCTGCCTGGCAGATGGGCTGAGTGAAGAAAGACAAATATATTTCTTTAAATAAAAACATAAGACCAGGCTTGGTGGTACATGCCTGTAATCCCAGTGCTGGGGAGGCTGAAACCAAGAGGATCACTACAAGTCTGAGCTGCGTAGTGAGACCCTGTACCAAATACATAAATTTAAAAAATAAGAATAAATAGATGCAAACATAATTAAACCAAAATAAGGAACAAAGAAAGAAGGGGGAGGAGGGAAAGAAAGAGGAGGAGGAGACAAAGAAAAAGAGCAAGTAAGAGTAGAAGAACGAGGAAAAATCCTTATCTAATAACTTAAAATTTAAGTTGGAAGGAGGAGGAGGAAAAAGAGAAGGACAAGGAAGAGGACAAGGAGGAGAGAGAAAGGCAAAGAAATGAAGAGGAGGAATAGGAGGAAGAAGGAGAAATCATTACCCAATAATTTAAAATTTGTTTTAGAATTGCAATATATTGCTTAGCTATTTTGGGCTTGCTATACCTGGTCTTTGAGCTAGCAGTGCATAAGTCCATGAGGAGCATTCACATTCTCTTAGATTACCTGGCACATAGAGCAGACAAATAGCAAATAGACAAACAAGTGAATGACTGCATGAAATGCTGCACATCTGGCGAGTAAGGAAGCTGTCTGTTGTGATTGCAACAGTGGGCAGCCAGAACAGCAGGCCCCCACCAAAGCTAAGCAAGCGCGTGGGAGGTGCTCAGGGCAGCACTAGGCAATAGGATGAGACCTGCGTGACAGGAGACCTAGCAAAGTAGAGAACATGGGTTTTAGGCAAAGCACACACAAATAAAAGCTATATAATTGTTATGTTTTAACCCTAAAATACCTTCCAAAAGTCTCATGTGTTCAGAAGTAGGGCTTTTGGGGCCAGGAAGATATCTCAGTGGACCAAGCACCTGCTTAGGCAAGCACAGGGACTGGGGTTCGACCTCTGGCACCACATGCCATGCAGACCCTGCCCCTGGGGTGCACTGAGCCAGCAACCAAGTCCAGACGTGGTGGCACATGCCTGTAATCCTAGCACTGGGGAGGCTGAAAACAGGAGGATCACTATAAGTTCAAGCTGCATAGTGAGATGCTGTACCAAATACAATAAAAATAAATAAATAAACAGAAGTAGGGCTTTTGGAAAGTATTTGGATTGTGGAAGCACTGTATTCAGGGACTTCATCCATTGGTACATTCGTAGCTAAAGGAGCTAGCAGAAGGTAAGGCCTGGCCAGAGGATGTGAGTCTCTGGGGTTGTGATCAGAATGGCTTCCCTCTTGTCCCTGATTCCTGTCCCTGCCTCTCTGCCCTCTGGCTGCCATGGGAAGAGCAGCCACCCTCTGCCAGCCCTTCGCACCATGCATTTCCAGACTTAAAGCCAGATAATGGTGGACTGAATCCTCGGAAACCATAAGCCAAATAAAGCTCCCCTCCTTTCAAATGGAGGTGTCAGGTATTTTGTCCTCGTAAGAAAGTGAATCATGGAATGAGTAACTGCAATTTTTTTAGATTCTGTTTATGAGAAAAATATTATAAAAAGCTGTGGAATGCACCATGGGGATAGTCTAGTAAGATCTAAGCTAGTCTCATCTTGCCAACTTCAGTCTCTGCCCCAGCCTTTGTGTACCCCTGCTCCTCAGAAGACACTGTGGCAGGCTTCTAAATTAGATAGAAATATTATAGGCAGTCAGACAGGGCCAAGCCCTCAAGAAGACAGCATGGAAGGCATGATACCTTGCAATCATAAGAGAGATGGACACTCTTACTGTGGGCCAGACTACAGACCAAAGATTAAACAAATTCTTACCTCCCTAAAGATAAGCATTTGGGATTATCATCACCTTGAGGAAGTCGGGAAGAGTCACTAATCCAACCACTACCAGCTACTGGATAAAGTCCTGTTCTATATTCATGCTCATTTTCCACGTGACTGTGTTTGGTCCCATTTGGTCCTTGTTTTAATGAATTTTATCTGAGCAGTGGTGCTTCTAACCTTATTGGTTGACCATAGTTTGGTCCCACCTCATGCCCACCTAAGCGAGTTCCCCTGTTCTCCACCTCAGACCTGTCTCACCTCATGGTTTTGCTCTATGAAGTTCCCCAAAAGAGATTCCTCCTGAGCAACCCACTCAAGTCCCCCTTCTGTCCCTGTCTCAGACAGGAGCTTTCTTTCCTCCCAATAAATATTCTGCTCTTAACCTCTGTTTCTTCCTAAAATTCATTCTTTGGTTTTAGAGAACATGAACTCGTCTGAGGCACCTTTCACCTCGGAGTTCATTTCCTTATGTCAACACTACCCTACTCCATCCCTCTGGTTACTACCCTGCGTTCTCATGTGCCTAAAACACAATCCCAGCCTTCACCTAACTCCTCCTAACTCAACCCCCATGTTATTACTTAACTTTTACTTTGTCCAAGAAGTCTTTTCTGATTTCCAACATTGGTATTTGCTCTTCACTCTGGGGAGCCCTTCCTGGACTTCACTGTGGTTTGGGAAATCTATATTCATAATCTCAGGGAAAAGTTACTGGAGCCCTAGAAAGTTAGCTCCAATCTACCACTACTAGTATGACGCATGGTGAGATAAAGACACTAAGGCACATATGGAGTTGTGGGGCACCAAGGGGGTCCTAAGTCCAGCTGGAGTGATGGCTAATGGGAACAAAGGCCATGACTGGGGCCAAGCCCAGGTTGTATTAATTATCAGGAAGGGAGTGGCTGGGAATGCATGGATGTAGTTGTGGCTGGAAGTATGGGAGTGACCCAATCTGGGTTAGATAGGAGGCCCGAAATCACCTCTGCAATACCATTCAAGGCAGTATCTAGTGTTCTGGGGTAGGGACTTCTGCTCTGATGTATCATCTTTATGCCTCTTCTCTCAGGGGTTGCTCCCAGGACTCCAGCTGACAGTGTGGGGTATTGCTCTCTCTCTTGCCTGGCTCACACATGTTTTTGGAACTATGGGACATGGCAGCACTGCCCTGTCACCTTGCTTCAGAGACCACAACCAGCACCTTGGCTAGACCAATATGCATGCTTAAAGCCAACTGAGGGGAGAAGGTGAAGTCCTGGCCAGCTCGGTACATATCAATACATGGAGATAGAGTCAGGTTCAGGCAAAATGGAGACAACTGCTCTTCTTTCAAGGAGAGTCCTCCAGGTGGTTCTACGCACTTCACAACTACAATTTTCTTACATTCATCTTTTCTTATCTACATTCATTCATTCTTTTTCACATTCCAAGCTAACATGACTCAGGCAGGGTTTGAGACAGCATTGAGAGAGGGACGGCAGAGAGAGGAGGCCATAGAGAGGGATGGCAGAGTCAGGGAGGGCAGAGAGAGGGAGGGCAGAGACAGGGAGGGCAGAGACAGGTCATATCTCCACTAGCTGTCAATTATAGTTACTACGAAAACAAGAGTATATAACATATTACTCTTATCAATGTGAAATATATCCATTGAGTGGTAAAATAGGACAGAAACACACATACACACAGAATTGTTTGTATGTGTGCAATTCTGAAAATTGAACTCAGAGCCTCACTTTCTCCCTCAGCCTGTTAAACACATGCTCTGCCCCTGGCCTACATCCTCAGTCCTTAAGAAAACATTTTTAAAGGCCAGGTGGGTAACCAAGATCTGCAGAAGCTGGGATGCAGCAGTGACAAAGTCAGGTGGGCGCACTTGCTGACCGGCTCAGGTCCTAATATTGCCAGGCGTCATCAGGTGCCACCTGTAACTACTTCTCTCATGGCAATCCTGACAACCAAGCCCACGGCACTGTGCACGTCAGCCACGGGCAGCCTCACGGATTCCTCCCCAGGCCTGTGATGTGCCTCCACACTCAGAGACTTTCTCAGGAGAGAAACATCCTGAAAGCAGATCAACTTGCAACAGGCAGGAAGCAGACTTCTGTCCCCAACACAAAATACACATGACTCGTGAATTGCACATTTTAATAGAAATGTTCACTTTCACACCATGTGTTCACTTTCCTCAGTCTTCTGTCTATTAGGCTTCTTGCCATTTGCACACAACAGTGTGTGACAGTGTGCGTGACATGGGGAAGACCGGAGCAGGTGAGAGAACACTTCTCTGGTGGTGAAGAAACGAGCTGTAGCTCTGGCTGTTGCTAACACCCTGGTGGCTATAGACAACTCACTTCCTCTCTGGTGTGGTTCAGTGCCCTTGATCGTGAAATAAAGAAGTGAAGAGAAAATTCTTCTGGATTTTCACAATCTGTGTCTTCCGGGACTTTAGTCTTAACCAATATGTCTGCCATGCCACAAACAGTGCTGAAAAGCTTGCAGTGAATTTCTTCTGCTCTACTAGTAGCATCCAGTTATTTAAATTTTCATAACAAGTAAAATAAAACTAAATAGAACAAAATTTCATAAAACCACCAGTTCTTAATTTTGTCAATCAAATGCACAAAAGACAGTATCACAATTCACAAAAGACATGCTGGCATAAACATAAAAATAAAGCTAAGGATGTAACTCAGTGCAGAGCACTTGTTTAGCAACTGGAAGTCTTGGGTTCGATTCCCAGAACTGTATACATTTTTAAAATAAAACACGAATATTTAAAATATATGCATTGCTAAGCAGACTAAAGCACCTGTTTAGGCAGAGCACGGTGGGTAGAGTTCGATTCCTGGTGTGCCATGCCGGCCCTGCCCACGGGGTGTGCTGAGAAGGCAATTGAGACTGGGCGTGGTGGCACACGCCTGTAATCCCAGCTCTTTGGAGGCTGAAAACAGGAGGATCACTATGAGTCCGATCTAGTAGTGAGAGCCTGAACACCTTGTAGACGCTGTCCTAAATACATAAGTAAAGCAAAATATATGCACATACATATGTACACAGCACCAAGCTCCCTCCTGTTCCCGATACTCCACAGCCCTCCCTCCCTGTCCCAGTGCAGTCCTCCATGCTGCCTGCCTGGCTCCTGACTCCAAGATCGAGGCTCCTCAGAAGCATTTACTGAGCATTCACTA